ATGACTAGATTAAAAGGTAAAGTTAAGTGAGTGCTTAAAGCTTATGACGTTAAAAGTATTTTGATAACTAAGGTGGTTATTAGAACAACAAAAATGATTCACAAATACAAATATTGATTATTGACTAGATTGAACCCTTATGGCTAACTAGCAATATAGATGGTACGATTAACCTTATGTCTATCGCCCTAACTCGTATTTAGTAAATGAGATCAAAACATGTTCTAATAATTCACAGTAGTTAACTAAAATACAAATAAAACAAACTCAATAAAATATGGTATAAATAAAAAGTACTCACAAACCGAAGAACTGCAAACCGCTGGCCAGGGCTGTTACCTAAACCTAAATAATACTAGACACAAGGTAAAGTGAACAACAAAAAAAAATATTAAAATAGTTTTTTGTCCTTATGACAACTCAATAATGCCCTTATGGCTTAAAAATACAATAATAAACAATCTTTTGTCCTTAAGACAATAATAATAAAAAATCATAATGCCCTTATGGCTTAAAAATACAATAATAAACAATCTTTTGTCCTTAAGACAATAATAATAAAAAATCACAGTGCCCTTATGGCTTAAAAATACAATAATAAACAATCTTTTGTCCTTAAGACAATAATAATAAAAAATCACAGTGCCCTTATGGCTTAAAAATACTATAATAACACTTAAAACTAAAAAACACTGAAGAAAAACACACAAAAAAGTCTAGCTTATTATTATATACTTCAAATTCACAAGAATGCAACAAGTGCACTACTAACACTGATAATACGGGCGTGGCACATTTGTTTACATAGTATAACCCGGTGCGTATATGTGTGTGTGTGTGAACAGCTGACCGGTAGTATTGCCAGTATAGATCGTGCGGAGTAGGGCGGAGTGGTGTGGACGGCCGCGACAACCAAGATAAGAGGGCATCTGTATCATTGGCGATAACCGGCATAGAATTGCGCTCCATTACCTGTTATAGCCTCAACAGTATTTAATTTAGATAGTATAGTATATATAGTAGTTACTTTATATATTAAAATCTTATTTGAAAGTTACTTTCTTGGGCCAACAATTTGACCACTTCCCCTTTAAAATTGGAAAAACACAAAAAGAATTGCATATTTATTATAACTTTTATAAAATAGTCGAAATAATCTAATAGGTATTTTGCATTAATATCAATTAAGAGCCCTAATTTTCAACTAAAGTAAACATGTTTTAATGCCGGTAAATCACTGTGCTGTCATTAAAATTGAGTTTATATCTAAAAATTGAGACTTTCTCATATTTTTTTTAGAAACCTGACATTTTTTTACATAAAATTTGGAAATTTCAATTTGGGTTCTCCATAAAAACGCTTAAAAACACAAAAAAAAGAGGTAAAAAATTATTGAAAAGACGAAAAAACGACCATACCAAAATATTTGAAATAATTATGTATAAAATAAGATAAATTCCCGTTTCTTCGTATTTCCTATGAATTTTTACCTTATTTTTTTGCGTTTTTATGAAGAACCCAGTTTTACATTTGACATTATCACATTACCCATGTAACCTAATTAATATACTATTTATTTAATAATTTACTTATATTTCATTCAATCTAAATATAACTAAATTTGAAAAAAATTGTTTTCAGACATTGCTGAAAACAATGTTCCGGCCAAAACAAATGGGTTGACTGACCTTACCAACTTGCAAATGGTAATTTTTTTTTATCAAATATTTTAATATTTTATAGTTTATTTGTACATATTTTTGAACATTACAGGCAAAAAAAACATATAAATACATATGTTTAGTAGAAAATTGCAATAAAGGAAAAAAAAAAGTAATTTTGATATTCACTAAGGGTCACACGGGGGAAAAACCCTTTCAATGTGTTTATTGCGAAAAAAAATTAAACCAGAAAAGTAATCAAAATACTCATATAAAAAAGGTTTGCGCAAAAAAAATAATATAAATTAAACAATAAACACCTTTTTTTATAATTCTTTTTTTTATTCGACTTATTTTTGTAATTTGATTTAATTTTAAATATAAACGTTTATGATTTTTTATAAACCGTATTTTTTTTTTTTTAACTTGTTTTCTCTCGTGTTATGACCTACATATGTACCAACAATAAAATAGGTATTTTATTATTTCTTTTTAAGTTACTAATTTGGGAATGCTGAAATTGCTGGAATCGTTTGTTGTTTAATTTGAACATTATTATTTTTCAGAATATTGATAACAAAAGTCCGAATGTCATAAGATTTGAATCTTAAAAGTTCTCTTTAATTTTCAAACAGGAATTTATCTTCTAAACTAACTACAATATATAACAGTAGTGCTATAATTTTGTAAAAAATAGAATAATAAAAATGTCTGAATAAAACGTCTGAAAATAGCTAAGGTTAAATTACTATCTAGTACGGCTATCATAGGTGTGGACAGACTTTCTGGGTATATTTAGTGAAAACTTTAAGTATAAAGTATTAAGTACAAAGTATAAAACTTTGTAAGCATATTATTTAGGACTAATTGAACATGGGAAAAAATAGTCGATTTTTTTTTCGAAAGGGTTTATACACTACAGTTGAGTAATAATTTAAAGCGAAAGGCTGTAGAAGAACTTTTTGATAAACAATCAAAACTTATTCATGGAGCTTTATCAAAAGACATTCCAACAATGACAACTTAGGATTTAACCTTAATTCGTATTAATATACACCACGCTAGGTTATCTACAATTCCAAAACTTCCAGACAATTTACCTGATTTATATAATGTTTTATTGAAAGAAAATACACAAACTAACAGAGATGACAATTTTGTAATAGGGAATGACAACGAAAATTATATAGTAATTTTTTCAACACTAATTTACTAATTACTAATTTAAAATTTTTAAGTGAAGTTATCTCTAAAACTGTAAATCTTTAAAACTTTGCTTGAAAAAGTGAAATAAAGAAAAAAATTCTATCCCTTCTAGGAGATATTTTGTTGATTTGTTAATGTTTGTCGATAGTACTATGTTTGAAGAACAATTCATATAAATTTGGAACTTTTTCGACTATTTTAAAAAAAGTTCTAGAGCATCGTAGTTTTAAGTTGAAAAATTTGTAAATTTTTTGGGTGTTTTTCTCGATATTGATGGAGAAAGGGGTAACTTTTTTAAATTTTTGGGCTAATAAAGTACCTTCCAGGTATGATTTCTGATCTATAGAGTTGCTACATGAAAAAGTCGTTTCAGCGGTTTACAAGATATCGTGGGTCTAGACTAACCAAAAAAAAAAAAAATAATAATAAATAAATGAAAAATAAAAACACATCATTGTAAAATCAATACATTCTCAGCTACACACCGAAGCTAAAAAAATTGGGCTTCATTAGGTAACAATTAATTTACTGTATGATGAAATAATATAGAAACATTAAAAACTCACATATTGTCAACTTTTCAAGGTTATTTTATTATTATTAGAGCGAAACAAAAGCTTAAAATTGCAATCGAAATGTCAGAAACAGAAGATATTAATTCCGAAAATGATGAACATCTTTTAAAATACAAAAGACGACAGCTGTTGTCAACAAAAAAAGCAAAAGATTCATCTCTTATAAAAAAAACTCAAACAACAATTTCTCCAAAGTTACCTTTATACCTATATAAACAACCTTTTACACAATCTCCAGGTAACAATAATATTTATTTAGTTGTGTAAAATTGTATTTTTGTTTTGTATAATAATGGTCATTGCATAAAACTGTATATTTCTATTTAAGGCCAATTGTTTCCTATGAAATACATGAACTTGAATGTTTCAAATTCCATAAGCCCTTCAAAGCATAAGCTGGCAAGTTCAAAGATTGATGATTTTTAGCCAAAGTAATTATATTATTATCTAAAATTTATTTTCTGATTTATGTATATTTTAATAGAATATTGATAAATACTGGGTTGAACTCTGTTCCAGTATATGATTTTCCAAGGTATTATTCCAATTCAAACAAGAATCGTGTAATGATGGATGCTCTTTCACCTAGAACATTAGCTAAACATCAGAAGACAGGTAGATGGTTTTTTTGTATTCTTATAATATAATATTATATTTAAATTAAAGATAGTCTCATATTTGTACTTGCTATGTCAAAATAGTAGAAAAAATGTGTAGTTCTTTCAATAAAATGTATAATTTTGTGTCCAAAAGGAAAGTAATAGCATACGAAAATGTGTTACAACAATCGTCAAACATACACAGCATGCCAGGTTGTTTATCAGCGCCCCCTCCCGTCTTCCTTCTCGGGGGTTCCACAACCTTTTTTTTTCACTAGTAACCTCTTTGGACTTTATCTCTTTTTTTGTTGTCTGACACGTTTTCTTGTAGTCTAATCTATATCTATATTATTGTCATAAGTAATAAACATTTTTATAAAAATAATCTTTTTGAATATTATCTATCCTATTTAAGCTATCTTAAATAATGTTTATTTATATGAATTATCTATAAATTATAAATGTACTGCTACACTTTATTCTAGAACTATGTACCGCTTATGAGATAAGCATGATTATTTTTTCATAGTAACATTCTCATAACATTACATTTATACGTGTAGGTATAGCAACATTACAGCAGTTTTTAATTATTAAATAAACAATTATGTTTATATTAGTTCTACAATTGTAACAACAACAATAATAATAAAATTACATTCAGACAAAATTTTGTATTAATAATCGTTTATAATATTACTAAAATCAGTGCGATCATTTTTAGAAAATGCCAAATAATGACGACGAAGATGATGGTTGTCTTTCCGGTCAGTGTCTTATCTGTATAACAAATGTCTGTCGTTCAAATAGTTGTACTATGTGTGAAGTGTAGTTTTCATACATGTAAAAATTACATGTAATTTTTGAATATGAAATGTTGGTTATCAACAATGAATGTAAGGAAATAGTATTTATTAGTTGATTGTACAAAAATAGTTTCAGATTTCAATCAAGCGTTATTGGTTGTGTTAGTCTCATTGCTAGTTGTATTTTCACATCATACAAATAATAAAGAAATTCCAGATACAGATGCTCCGTTGCCCCCGTCAGACATGCCCATGGGTGTTTACGACCGGGCCGGGGTTGTGTCCAACGGAGAACCATGTGCCAAAATTGGACGGTAATATATAAGGTTATATGTAAATGTGTAACTACCTAATTAATGGGCAAAAATGTCGAAACATACGATATTGTTGGCCAACATACTGTATTTAAAAATATTACTGAGTCATTGATGTTTGATTATACCCATGTCTTTGTAGTAACGTTTTGAAAAATGGTGGCAATGCAGTAGACGCAATTATAGCTACATTGATATGTGACGGTGTTCACTGTCCGGAATACATGGGATTAGGTGGAGGATTTTTGATGACTATATATAATGCTACTACTAAAAAGGCAACCGCAGTCAACGCACGTGAATCGGCACCAGCCGCTGCCAATGAGACTATGTTCATTAATGACTCGATCAAATCTCAAAAAGGTACTTATTCAAACAATTAATGAATTATTTGTACTTTAGTTGTAGATAAGAAGTGAAGTAAGGGCAGTTGTCCCCTCACCTCTAATAACTTTAGCTAGAAACGCACTGACTGCAACATTTCGTTGTAAAACAGTTTTTCGGCAATAAAAAAAAAATCGGCTGCAACATTTTGAAATTGTTTAAATTGCTACAAGATTATATCAGTACATGATTACCATTTGTTAAAAGAGACGAGTGCTTTTTGGTCAGTTTTTTCCTCTATTCTAAATAAATTCTACATATTTTTGAGTCAACAAAATGGATAATACAGCAGAGGTGAATATTTTATTGTGGCAATTTTGGATGTTGAAAATGAAAGACGACCTAGATTTTGGGTTCACCCAATAGACCAAAAAGAAATATTTCTGGTTTTTTTGTGAACTAAGGAACTATCCAGACAAATTTTTACAACTACATCCGAATGAATATTATACCTTTGATAAGTTTTTAAGACTGTAAAATGTAATACTTGTCCAATTTCGGTACACATTTAGTTCACAACAGGAGGTTTTGGTGTTCTTTTAAATTGAAATTATATATAAAGGTTCGATCAGCACGAGTAGTCGATCCACGTCTTGATCCATGTTTTAAAACAAAATCCAAAAAACACTTCAAAAGAAAGAATGAAGGCTAGGGAAATTGCTAAAAAACTGCAGTCTTCTTGTTGCGCAACGCTGCGAGTCAATGTGCCGGCCGGTGCGTTTTCAGCTTTAAGCAACTTGCAATTGCGGGATTCTACTTGATATGCCGGACTTTAATTTATATCATGTAACCTACTACAGTTTACTATTATTATAACTGTGAATTCTTTATTGTATTTTTTAGGCATTTTCAATATTGATTTCTCTTCTTCCAGAGGGTTATTCATAAGCTTTTTTTTTACCAGAGCTGCATTGAATTTTTTAGCTATATTTATTACTTATTCCAGTGTCAGCTTGGTTTCAGTAAGAAATTGTTCTTGAAGATTTTTAGACCCCAGCTACTACGATCTTAACCCTTAGTACGTAATGTTTCAAATATTTCTCGGGCGTATTCCCTTATGATATGAAGGAATATAGCAAGATGTTTCAATTGTTTATTTTCATGTATTCCTACTGCTACCTTGTAAATATTACAATTTTTACTCAATTTCGGCCAATTCGTTTGTGCCCCGATGTCTTTAAACCGTCCATACTCGGGATAGGTATATTTTCACTAACTACACAATTTCGCGATCCTACTGCGCTATATTTTATATAACTATATTACCTTTACTCCTCGATTTTTTATTTCGTCATAGAATATGTCCGACTCTATTTCTTAACAACCTTCTTCTACCTAATGCTCGGTCCGTGCACTGCCTCGATATCATCATCGATTGTCGACTTACTTGACTGCTTCATATAACTAGTAAAATAAGGTTACTTAACTATACATTTTGCTTTCTTCACCTGCCACTAACATTTAAAAATATAGAGCTACCAACCTGTTACTTTACAAATTACTGTTAGGCCCCAACACCAACCGTTTCCAAAAACTCCAAATCGAATACATCAACACAAGCTTTTATTTTAACTGCGATGTTGGCCGATGAAAGAAAACTCATTAAGGAGTCAGCATTAAAAATAATTTTAGAGATTCGCCAAACAACTTCAGGAAAGATACGCGTTTTTAAAGTCCCACTATAAATTTTGACGCTGAGCACTATGTCGAATTAATAGATTAGAAGTCTATGGCTAAACCTTCACTAACAAAACTAGTAAATACACAAATAATATTTGAGGCAATGAGTGACAAAGATCAAGTACGCAGTGAAATTTTAGAAAAATTCTCTCATGTGCCCTGTCGCACTCAATCAGTCAAAAGGTGTGTAAAATTAGTAACTGTAGCTAGGGCTACTGTCTGTGGAACAGAAAGAATAGAAGGTTTTATACAAAAATAGTCTAGAAGGTCACCGTATTATGCCAGATTTTAATACAAAGAAAAACTATAATTTAGAGTAATTTAGTACTTAATAAGCAAATTATCTTTCTTTTATCATAAATATTCTACAGATTTTGTTTTTTTATGAAAAAATGTTTTCAATAATAAAAATGTAATTTAATGTCTATAACTATTTAGATAACTGGATATTTATGCTGGTATATAACTAAATTTCTTGCAACAAAATTATGATTATACGATTTTCAGGTTATTATAGTTTTCCATGTAGAATCTTGGATTTTCGTTCAAAATTCTCCTTTTATATTCTACTATAGGATAGGAATAAAATATTTTCAACTACCGATGTTTTTTTTATACTAAGGACATATGTTTCAAATTAATATTTATACCAGAAATAACTAAAAAACAAAATTTTTTCTGAAAACTTTAACTTGCAGTAGCTAAAAATCATGTTAAAAATCCGAAAAATTGTTTTACCCAAAAGTACAAACTGTCATGAAGAAAAACGAAAAAAAATGTTTATCACCCTAATACATGTATTTTAATATTTAGGCGGACTAGCAATCGCCATACCCGGAGAACTTAAAGGATACTGGACTGTTTATAACAAATACGGCGGTGGAGTAACATGGAGTTCGTTATTTGAGCCAACGATAAAGCAGTGCGAAGAGGGAATAGTCGTTAGCCAACGTTTGGCAACTAACTTGGCGCGCTATGAAGACTTAATTAAAAATACCACAACAATCAAGTAAGTTTCTACTATGTGTAAGATATTGCTGAGAACATATTTTGAAATGGATGTCTTATGGCTGCGGGTCGGTCCGCAAAATCCGACCGCTATGAAAATTTGTCACGCTCATTACAATTAGAAATAAGAGATAAGGGATTAGATAGAAGAGATTAGTGATATACAATAAGGTATTAGAGAGAAATTAATAATATATTAGAGATACATTATGTTTACATTTAGGTCTATGCCATTAGGCTGGCATCAACAAACACTAGGCTACAGCATATAGCACACTTTTAAAAATATTATATTATTTTTTGTTATTTGATCAATTTTCATGTTTTAGGGATTATTTTATTGATGAAAACACCGGCAGTGTAAAAAAAGCCGGTGATGTTTACAAATTACCCAAATTAGCCGAGGCCATGAGGATCATTGCAAGAGATGGAGCAGATGCACTGTATAAAGGACAGCTGACAGCTGATTTTTTAAAAGACATTAAAAATAACGGTGGAATAATAACAGCAGACGATTTAGCAAATTACAAGTACTTATAAAAAAATATATTACGCTTTCTTGACAGAAGTAGCAAGTACAAAATAAAAATAAATAACATTTATAAACAAAGCAATGGATAGTTGATTTACATAGAGTTTATAATTGTTATTTAATATATTTCGCGCTAATTATCGGAAAAATTTATCTCGGTTTTTTTCATCATCGCATCTTTCATTCAACCAGTTATAATTTTTGAAAGTCCTATTCAATTAAATTTCTCCTTTCCCCGCCGAGAAAAGAAAATAGCAGATTTTTTGGCCGTATCAACATCATATATTATGTTAATATAATATATAATATTTAAATCTTCATGTACTAATTTTACAGATTGAAATTCTTTCATGTATAAAAAAATTTATACTAAAAAAAACGTCTTCGGCCTTCTCCCAAACCACCCAGATCGTCTCAATCTATATGTATTTGAACTAATTGATATTTATCTCATTTATAACTTAAGCCACCGGAATGTTGTTTGCCGTTAAAAATCGTTAGAAAAAAAAACGTTTAATCATTTTCAGTGTGGAAATTGAAGAGGCGTTTAAGGTGAGCTTGTATAACGGTCTAAAATTACATGCAGGACCTCCGCCAGGCTCCGGAGTAATTTTAGCTTACATTTTACGAGTACTGGATAGAAAACTACCATCTCGAAATGCAAGCCTAGACGCCCATCATTTAGTGGAAGCATTCAAATTTGGTTATGGAGAACGGACTCATCTTGGTGACCATAATTACGTAGACGTGTCTCAGGTAAACTAGATTTTATTTATAAATATACCTATTATGTTTGATTTGGGGTTGGAAAACCTCGAATCGGGTCATAAATTCCAAAATTAGCATAAATTGAGTCCCGGCGTATTTTATCGAGTACATGAGTTTTGTCTCGACATATATTTAACAGGGAAAACTCTAGTTGGGTGCCAAAATATTCAATTGCTTATTTTTAATTAAATTCACATAGTAATTTGGTACAGCTCTAGTTGAGTCCAAAGGTTTGAGCTCAGTCTATTATTCCCAGGATACACCACGTAGATGTTGACTAGATAGTCTATTTTTTGTTAGGTTACTCTGACGAATATTATATTAAATTATATGTAGTCATAATATTTAAATTATTTAAGTGAATTACACTTTTTTGTCATAAATAAATTATTTTATTAATAATAAATAAATCGGATAAATCTGAAAATCATCTGTATGACAAATTATTTTGTTATAGTAGGGGAGAAATTTAAATGACACATCTTCAAAAAATTAAGCCCACTCAATTCTTGTTCAAAATTAATCTTCTCTTCTTTTTCTTTTGTTTTTTTGCGTTAAATCGAGACAATAATTTTGTTTACGATTTTGGGTTTTTGTGAAATTTGTCATATGGTACTTGATAACGAGGTACGATTTCAGATTTTCCAAAAAGTCAGATCGGACAAGTATATGAAGCAAATACGAAATAAGATAAACGATAGCTTCACATCTTTACAACAAGAGTACTACGGAGCGTATTCTGGAATACCCGCTGACCATGGTACTGCTAACGTAGTCGTTTTAGATGACATGGGAAGTGCTGTTGTTGCAACAAGCACCATAAACACAATGTAATTCATCTATTTTACTTGTAAAATTAAACTTGGTTTATTCAATATTCTGTACGTTTTATTATTAATCAGATTCGGTTCTGGTGTAATGTCTACAAGCACAGGTATTATTTTAAACAATGAAATGGATGACTTTTCGACACCGGGTGTTCCGAATTTTTTCGGTATTCCACCATCCCCGGCGAACTACATACGACCGGGGAAACGACCAATGTCTTCGATGTGCCCAACAGTAATAACAAACAGCAAAGGAGTCGTCGTGCTAGCATTAGGTGCAGCGGGTGGATCTAAAATCACACTAGCTACGTCTTATGTTAGAAACTCACTAACATTAACTAACTACTAAAGTAATCTAGGATTGTCTTATTTTGGAAAAATAATAATAACGCATTTCAAATAAATATGACTATTGGCTAGATTTTATTGGTTATTCGTGTGATGTTAGTTTATGATTTCTTAAAATCATTGTTTAGGCACATAAATTAGTAAGGACGACTGTTGTTTGATTTTGCAGGTAGCTGCTCTGGTACTTTGGTATAATAAATCCCTTAAAGAAGCTGTAGACGAGTCCAGACTCTATCATCAGTTGGTGCCAATGAAAATTGATTACGAATACGGTGTGCTCAGAGTAAGATAAATCTTTAGATGCATATTACTATTGTGCACGAAATGGTTTTTAAATATTTCATTACACTTAAATAAGAATACCCTTTTTATTTTTTAGAAAGTGATTGAACATTTGACTGAAATTGGTCACCCGGTAAACAGACTGAAATTTAGAGGAGGTTCGGCCGTTACAGCTATTCACAAAACTGTGTCTGGTCAGATAACAGTAATGGCAGACTTTAGACGACCAGGAAACACTTCGGGGTATTAGGACCATCAAACGATTATATTCGTAATAACGTATTACGGATTTTATCACTTGTTTCCACTAAATTTGTTGAATGTCTTATGTTTGAAAATTCTACACCAAGTATGACCCATAATCATTTCTCACCGTTATTTAATAAAGATGTGGTATAAAAAATGTCTATTAACATTACTCTTAATATTATAATTGTTGTGGTGATGAAATGAGAATTCTTTAATAATCGACTTAAATCGTTAAGCCTTCAATATCAAATTTGTGTGCGTTATTATGATTTTAAATTTTATAAATCGTATTGACAACTCTCATTGAGTAGACTTAAAATATTATCCAAAAAAATAGTGTCACTAAGAAAAACCGTATTATATTTTTTGACTAAGATTGTAGAAATTTGTAGTATTAAGCCTGTACAAATTAAATTATTATAGAGAGTGAAACGATCCCTACCTTTAGCCAGTGGCGTTTACACCTATTTACCAAAAAATAAATGGTTTATAAATATATCTATATCTATTCTATTGACTAATAACACCATTGCAAAATATAAAAACAACATACAAAACCACGAATGCTCGTTAAGCGCAGTGGGCAACTACTACTAACTTATACAAAAAATAATTGGTTGACAAAAGTACAAGTAAACAGGTAGCAGAAGGGAATGGTCACTCAGTGTGGCCACCCTTACTCTAATAATTAATGTGGCTATCAATTCGGCCATTCGACTTTGATGGACGCCTCGGCCCAACGTTTTATAAAACACCAACTGGTATATTTATATACATACACACATATACATATAAGTATGTCATATCAACAAAAATTCCCAAACTTGTCAGAGCTGTGTATTGACCTGAACATACAAAGTTGGATAAGACATGCCAAAATAAATGAATAATAATTATTAAAATGTTAAGTTTCTTAAAAATATAATAATTTATTATAAATATTATAGATGTCCCACCAAGACAAATTTCAGTTCTGGACGTTAACACTGGACGATACTAGTAGTATTGTTTTTAATGAAAATGATACTACAAGCACTTATCCCATGTTGTTCCAGAACTGAAATTCGTCTCGGTGGGTTATCTATAATATTTATAACCAAAGTTATTATAAAAACAATGTATACAGAAACATTTTTTTTTTTGGTAATTATTTAATTTTTTGTTAAAGAAAAAACGAAAAAAACTTTTCTTAAGCATAATTCGGTAGCATGAGATAATTTGACGGTCAAAAACTACCATCTCACTTGTGAAATCACCTCGGACCACTAAATTCATTATTCATTACTATACTCATACATATACTCATTTCACTAAGTTCATTATTATTATTGATCTATTGCTCATCTGATTTTTATTTAATTAACTGTTAGATATTATGGTTACAGTATGCAACTTTACCTGTATTTATAACGATTTATTTCCTAGTGAATTTCTATGGGCAACAAAATCAATTGAGGCACGGTGAACAAAATATTTATAACTAGAACGCTAATAATATTCACCATCGGTAGGTATAACTGTCTACTGATATCATATATTAATACATACATTAATATAATATTCCAACACCTAATGGTGTACATGAGTACATGGAAAAAATTCCTGAAAAAAAGGTTCTAGTCTAAAAATGATTAAAATTTAGAAATAACGATCAAGTCTCACACGAGGGTCTATAGGTATACAAATGAGCCGTATATTTATCACAAAATAAATCAATTTAATCCTAACCCTAACCGTGATTTTTTTGTTTTTAGCAATTATAAAGGAAAATAAATGGTTAGATGAAAACCTACAAAAATTACTAGAGATATGTACCAAATCGACTATTTTTACATACAAAGATGCCATTTATGAACAAACTGATGGAATGACAATGGATTTAAAACTAGCGCCAGTATTTGCCAATATCTTTATGGGATGGTTTGAAGAACAGGCTTTAGAAAATAGCAGTTTTAAACCAAAGATGTGGCTTCGATATGTAGATGACACTTTTGTACAATGGCAACATGGTGAATTCCTAAGCCATTTAAATAGTATACATAGAAATATTCAATTCACAATGGAGATTGAGCAATGTGAACAACTCCCTTTGCTGAACGTGCTAGTCAAGACTAATCCAGAAGGGAATTTCGGTACAGAGGTTTACAGGAAAAATACCCACACTGACAGGTACTTGCATGCAGTCACACCATTGCCCGACACAAAAAATTGGTTTACTCCACACTATGACAACAAGAGCTGTAAGAATAGCCGATAATCATCACCTCGAAGAGGAAAAAACATACCTACGGCAAACTCTCCAAAAAAATGGATATACATTAAACAACATAAACAAAGCTATGAAAAGAGCTGAATAAATACACAAAACCGGCAATCCCATAGTGGAAATTGAAGACGAAAATAAAGGAGTATTGTTATTGCCATACATACAATGGGTTACAATATATACAATACATACATATAGGTTAAAATTGATATTAGGTAAAACGTGATAATTTCCCATAGTAGTTTTTTTCAACGACCTTTTTACTACACTCGTATAACAATTATAATTTTAAATTTTAATATTTTTAAATAATACAAATTATGTTGTTTTTTTTTTTATTAAATTTAAATTGTATTAGTCAATTTACCTAAAAATTCTTTTAATTATTATACATGTTAATCGTTAAGTTGCCCCCCCTCTTTTTGAAAACGGTTTAACTTTGGAACGGGGGGAATACTAACATTTCCGATGTGGGGGGAAGGGGGTTAACTTAATGGAGCCTTAAATATAAACTAGTTTTGCTTTATTATTCAATATTTTCATAAAACCCAACTTTTTAATTTGTATAATCATCTGTAACATTGGGAAGTTTTTAACTTTGTGTCAAGTACTGTGTTTTATTATGACTATGTCTTAATATATCTAATTAGTGTTTAATTTTAAATTTTAATTGATATTATAGTCAAATGTTATAATTGTGACATACGAGGGCACAAGGTAAAAATTGCCCAACAACATAAACAGAGGAGATTTAGCACAATTAGTAAGAATATATTTAATACAATCATCAATCAAAGTTAAATAAATATATTATATAAAAGTATACTTTCAAGAATAATTTTTTTAAATTTAAGCTTTAAGTTTGTATTATTAAGAATTTTGGGATTTAGTAAACTAAATAAATACGCGTTTTACTTAAAAATACTTTACCATCAATGCTTACCTGAAAAATTCTTGGTTTTATAGTGACTTTTAAAGATAATCTTTTAAAAGTTAGATTCACATAAAGTGAAGTTTGCTAGCAGCTCCCTTTAAGCATAGATTAAATAGTATAGATAAACAATACATATGGAACGGCATGAATCCTTTTTTGTAGTTCAAACATATGCCTGCCGGGCGTATCACATGTGTTTTGTTCCTTTTTTAGCTACATCACACGTTTCCAATACTTTTTCTACCATTGAGAGCTCCCAGTGACCTGATTCCACACTATCATATTTGTGTTGTACACGTTGCCAGTCATAACATAAACATTGTTCATCCATAGTACAATTAATCTATGCTTTAAGCAAAAGCATTGCTTATTTGGGAATAGGGTTTTAAAGATTTTAAGATTTTAACCAATTTTAGCTAAAAAAAAACAGTTTAACAATTGCCTGTTCGTTTCTAAAAGGGGTATTTCCTGCAGGAGAGTTAAATTATGACCAATAACCAATTTATCCTATATTCCTTTAAGTTATTTAAACTTGAAACTAAATAGACGACATAATCAAAATATGTCATCACGTCTTTTCTAAGTTGATTTTCATACGATCTCACAAACTTATTTGAAAATGTATTCAGACGCAAAATAAAAAATTCATAGTTGGGGGGCTGGGATGCCGTCACCCCAGCCCCCATCACGAATTTTATTAATTACTCTAAAAGGGTGGTAGTACAAATTTTGAAAACATTTTTTTTTTATTTCCAATATGGGGGGGGGGGGGCTGGTGAGACGTACGTTTATTGATCTGTAGACTTCAAACAGTAAGTAACTTTTTAGTTAATAACATATTTAGCTTGTTTTTTGCACATTCACAACACTTTTTCTTACGACACTTCAAATATGCTAAAAAACATTTATTTTTTTTTATCTATTATTTTTGTGTAAACTTACATAATTTTTAAATCAATTTTAGTTAAACTATACATCCATCGACTTAGGAGTAATATTTTAATTTAAGTATGTTATGTAGAAATTAAATTTGTTTTTAATGTTCTAACTATTGGTTTGCCAAGGAAAATATATTGACTTGAGTAAAACATTTCTTATCAATTTTTTATAATTTATAATGTCATGTAGGTACATCATTTTTACTTCTCAACTTAAAGTTACTTATTTTTTTGTTATATTTGATTATTATAGAGATATCAAAATGTAAAAGCATGAAATACTTTCATATCTGAATACAATTCCAGATACCATGTTGAAAATTCAGATTTTGGAGGGGATAGTAACGCTGATTGTTTGCCTATTGATGTTGGTGTAACAGAAACTGTATCAACAAGATCTCAAAATTTAACTATTTCTGGTAGCAGTGATATTCCGCAGTCTAATGATAATAGTGCTGTATCTTTTTTAACTCCAAGTACAAGGTCATCTGTACCTCCAAACAGAAGTCTACGGCCTAAAAGGGTTCAAAGAGCTCTTTTACAAGAGTTTATTCGTCCAAGTTCAAGTGATTTCGAAGATACAGATGAAGACCCCGATGTTTATTTTTCACCCTTTGTTCCCATTCCTAATAGTTTATCTTCTAGTTCAGATGATGATGCTTTAGATGAGAATCAACAAAGTCAAAATTCAAACAATTTTAAATGGTCTAAAAATGGTCTAAAAATGGTCAAATACCATCTAAGTTTTCATCATTTAAATTTAAAGAAAAATTTGGTTTAAATGCTGTAGTTGATAACTCAAAATTGTTAAGTTATTTTGCATTATTTATCAGTTCAACTTTTTAAAATTTGGTAGTTAAAGA